TGTCTGATGCAAAGCATTGTGCCAAGCAATGCGCCAAGCATTGTGCCTAGCCAATCTTGATTAGACCATCTCTCCTCCCGCCGGTAGCTAAGATAAATCTCGTCCAGTGTCAGTCTCATCCAAGGCCTTTCGTTTAATTCATAACCGACAATTCAATCACGTCTGTGAAGACAGTAGCAAGGCCCTGTATACCGGCAGTAGTAGTGCGCGATTGTTACCGCTGTCTGACTAATGTCTCGCATCCTCTCAGCTGTTACACTTATGGCTGGCCTAACAGCATCACTCGGGTCTCGTGTGACCGATGATACCTAGAAGGCTAGAACTTCGTTAGGCTTACATAGCCACTCGATGCCATACAATCTAACTGCTAAGGAGTTCCGCGTAGTCGGCAGCCTCCTTTCCGGTTATTATGAGGCTGTTATTGTTCGCCCAAGATAAGTTTTGGTAGTTTCTCACTTTGTTCACCATATTTTGGTAGTTTTTCACTTAAAGCTGTAGGCTCATGGGACTTCATCATATGTGCTGTACTTTATAGGTTTCGAGGCATTCCTATTCGCACCATTTTCGTGTTGAATATGTTTTTATCCAATATGGCACGACTACCCGCACCATGGGTGTAGTTTTCCAAAAATCATTGGGGGTGCTCAATAGCTTTCAGAAAGGCATTCCATAGTTTTTGTAGTTTTTTTTTAGCTGTTCTTTTTTACTGTAGCCATCAGGCATCATGCAAGAAATGATGTTAAATCGGTTCGAGAGCTTGTTTTAATAGCGCCACTGTAAAACAATTTTGGCTCACCCAATGCATTAACCCGCGCGGGGCTGGGGTCTCCACTCTCCAGCCGAACGCGCGGGGCTGGGGGGGATAAATTTTACCCCCCTGTTATCTCCCGAACTATTGGTCCGATTTGGAAAATTCAAACGCCAATCGAAAGATCTCATCACGAATAACTAAAAACATGCACTTAATTTAAAGTTTGAGGTCAAGGTCAAGGTCAGGTCAAGGGTACAAATTGCAAGTTTCTACAGTATCGGCCTTGCACCGTAGTTGCCGAAGAATGGAGTCATGGACTGAGACTGATTGCCCAAAACGTGTTTGGGCCTGACCTTGGCGATAAGTTTGGCACGCCAGATTTTGTACTGGACCATTTTGAGTCAACTTTGAGAAATACATAACGTACAACGGTGGTAAAATCGTTGCTATAGGTACGAGGTGCTATCAAAAAGTTCCGGGACTCTGCTGTTTTCGTTCGAACGGGGTGACGGGTGGCTACCTGCACATAGGGATATGGACTAGCATTCATTGGGACGTATTGGTGCAAGTTTCGAAGCGCTACGATGATTCAGTCCTGTGCAACGCGTGTTTGAGTGACACCCTCCGGACGTCGTCCTGCGATGGAGACGATGGACCTGAAAATCGAGCAGAGATCGAACATCAAATTTTGTGTGAAGCTTGGAAAAAACAGCGGCTGAGACACTTATTTTGTGAAGACAGATGTACGGTGACGATGCCCTAAGCAAAACAAGGTGCTATGAGTGGCATGCAAGGTTTAGAAATGGAAGAACCTCACTGGAGGACGATGACAGACAAGGACGACCCTCAACATCTGTAACGTCTGAAAATGTTGAAGAAATCGGACGAATTGTGCGCCAGAATCGTCGGATACCTATCGAAGAAGTGGCTGACATCGCCAAAATCTTATTTGGATCCGCTCAGATCATCTTGACCTCTTATCTGAACATGCGATGCATCGCCGCCAAATTCGTCCGAAGGCTTTTGACTGCGGATCAGAGGCAGGAACGTGTTGAGGTTTGTGAAGATCTGCTTCAACGTGTTCAGGAAGATCCACATGATGTCAAGGCTAATCACAGGTGACGAAAGTTGGATTTTTGTCTCAGCCGCTGTTTTTCCAAGCTTCATACAAAATTTGATGTTCGATCTCTGCTCGATTTTCAGGTCCATCGTCTCCATCGCAGGACGGCGTCCGGAGGGTGTCACTCAAACACGCGTTGCACAGGACTGAATAATCGTAGCGTTTCGAAAGTTGCACCGACACGTCCCAATGAATGCTAGTCCATATCCCTATGTGCAGGTAGCCACCCGTCACCCCGTTCGAACGAAAACAGCAGAGTCCCGGAACTTTTTGATAGCACCTCGTATAACACAGTTTACCCGCTCCGGGTGTGAGGGAGGGGTGTGGGGCAATGAGTGCACTGACGTGGCGCCCTCGGAGGGCCGGTATGGGATTAAAGCTCAGCTACACTAAGGGCTTGTGTGGTGCCTTCAGTTATCGGTGGCACCCTCAGAATCACCGGCGTAGGGCCCTCAGAGCCGCCGGTAAGGGAGGCACCGGTGTGGGGCCGCCATGCAGGTGCCGGTGTGGGCGATCAGAGGTGCTAGTGTGATTCTCTCAGAGGCGCCGATGAGGGTCCTTACAGGCGTTGCTCCGGGCCCTCATAGACGCTGGTGTATAGCCGTTACAGACGGGTGTGGGGCCTTTAGAGCTGCTGACGCGAACTCTCTACAAGCCGGCAGGGGGTCTCAGTGACCGGCAAGGGGTCCTTATTAGGCCGGCAGAAGAAGTCCTGCGGGGTCCTAAGAGACCGGCATGGTACTGTCAGACGCCGGTGGGGCCCTCAGGGTCACCGTTGTGGGGCCCTCAAGTCAGTCCCAAGCCTTTAGATGCGCAGGTGTTGGGTGGGTCCTCAGAGCCGCCGATATAGGGCTTTAATAGGCACTGGTGTAGGCACTCGGAGTTGGGGGTGTGAAACCCTCAGAGACACCGGTGTGGGCCCTCATAGGCGCCGACGAGGGCTCCACAGTTGCCGTTATGGGGCCCTCAGAAAAATAAGTGTGGGACCATCACAGGTGGGAAATGCCCCTAGAACTTTCCCTCATTGGCCGGTAAGACCTCTCAGAGGCCAGTAAAGGCTGAAGCAGTCTCTTTCCGCGTTCAGGAAATCGCATGCGAGAGCCTATTCAAAAACATCGTAATTCCTCTCGCATCAATCGCTCGCGGGAGGTGCGTGCGATTGATGCGAGCGTGCTTCCATGTATTTGAATAGGCTCTCGCATGCGATTTCCTGACTGCGGAAAGAGTCTGTTTCAGGCTTAACCCGCGCCCTGATGGGGGGGGGCATTTTGGCCCCCCCCCCTGTGGTTTTTCTTAAATAGCGAGAAAACGGCGGCGCGCAGCGCCGCCAAATTTTGGGTACCTTACCGGACATCAATTTGACACCTTCACACAAAATTTCAAGTCACAGGTCACCTCAGGTCAGGAGTTATTGAGGTCAAACTGAGGTCATGTTCGAGTAAAAATGAGCAAAAAACATGACATCTTGAAACGCTCACCAATTCTACAGTTAACTAGCAATTTTAAAGTTCTTAATGTGGTTGTGTAGAGAAAAGACGGTGCTACAAAACTGCTATCTCGGATTTTCGAAATTTTGGGATTTTGACCCCCAAAAATTAAAAAAATTGATTTTTTTAGAAAAACTCAAAAAATTTCCTATTTTTTTCGAATTTCGAAAAAAACCGGAATATATGTGATAGTCCCTGCGCTCTTCGATATACATACCAAATTTTAGATCGATACCTCTTTTTTTGGCCAAGTTATAGCGAAAAAACTGTTAAAAATTGATGACTTCAAATTTTTGAACTCAATTTTTAGCAATTCTAGACCTTGTAGCGCAAAACGGAGACCACCATTGAACTCCCCGTGACGAGCTGCATCGAATCGATACCCATTTTATGCAAAAATATCAACTTTGAAATTTGACCTAATTTGACCTGACCTTGACCTGACCTTGACCTGACCTTGACCAAAACGTGACCTAAGCTGGCCCTTAAGTCTGTCTGACCCACATAATCGCATTTGTCATGTAAAATGGACCATAAAACATGTATCACACGACACTTTTATAGTGTGACCCCCCAGTGACCTGACCTCTGTGACCTGACCTGGTATCAGTGACCTCAAATAGCAAAATATGTGTTTGAAGAACATTTCCCCATCGATGATTTTCAATGAAATGCATTTTACACGATTTTACAACGCTTTTCTTGAAATGCCTGTAAACGGTGAAAATTCGACCTTTGACCTGACCTGTGACGTCATCGGTTTGACCGAGGTCAATGAAATTGGGTCACAAGGTAGTTCCCCGTTGGGGCTATCCAACACCGTTTACCGCTTGTCGCTATGTTGCGTGGTTCTCGAGATCTGAGGGGGGGGGGCAAAATGGCCCCCCCCCCCCCCATCAGACCGCGTTGCTCGGCAGACCCCATCTGGGCGCGGGTTAAAGGGCCTTTGGAGACCACCGAGGTGTCCTTAAAAGCCGCAAGAGGCCCTCAGAAGTCGGCGTGGGGCCCTTATGGAGACCTTAGTGTAGCTATTTAGGGCCCATGAGGTGCTCTAAAGAGCCCCACGGGGCCCTTCTGAGTAGAAATATGGCCATCGTTAACCCTCAGCGGTCAAATGGCGCCGCAGGGCCTCTCGGACCCAAGGGTCCCTTTGAACCCGATGGGGGGAGGGGAAACGTGTCCCCTTACACCCCTAGCTATGCCACTGTTTTATATGCATCATGTCAGGTATTTTAGGCTCGCCCCCCCCCCAACTTGAAAATCGTTCCCGGGCCCCTGATAATATCAGATGTAATGTTAACACAAATATCATGCATCTTAATTTGTGGTGATTTATTCAATATATATTCTCTTAGTCACTGAATTCAGTAAGCATAGTATTTGCATGATTCACTGGGCCCATTACAGTACTAGGAGATGGACATTCTGATTATTGAGGGCCTTGAGTCAGCTGGGAATGTTTTGAGGAGGCTGGGGGTGCTTTAAGAAGGCAGGGGGTGCTGAGCTCAGGATTGGGGGTGCTTGAGCACCCACAAAGAGATATAAAGTTACGCTTATGACCCGCACCTTGGACTGCGGGGTGCTGAACGTAGGTCAGTCATACTTGTTTTAGTCTATCTTTTGTAAAGTACACCGGCATATGATATCATTCATGCACATGTATTTTCACTGTGATGTTACATGGCGATTCACAAGGTGAAAGGGTTTTTGACAAAGGTAAATTGCTGCTGCAACACCCAGTGATGGTTTGCAAACCACATTGCAAAAAGCAAGGACAGCTGTAATGAATTCATCATGAATCAACGCTTGATAACATTCATCGGCTGCAATACCAATGTTAGAAAAATATTTGCATTGCTAAAATGACCACTGTAACGACCCCTTGTTGCGGTCTTGTCATAGGCATACCTATGTAGTATAAGCCGTCTTGCATCTCTCAGCTCACCAACATATCTTTTTAACCTTTGAAACTCATCACTTGACTATTCGGACTCGGCGACAGTGCCACGTCTGTAATCAATCATCATCCATATTAACATATTATACCTAAATGGTCAAAAACAAATGAAATTTGATGGGTTCAATGCATATTCAAGACCAACGAAAACACACCAAAATGTGTGCAAAATATTAAAATGCTTGTTCAAATGCAACAAAAACACGACAATATGTGCACGTGCCCCGTGTTGCTCACGCTAGCATGATTGCAGCGTGATGCACAATCACAAGTCTCGCGCTTCTTGAACACCATAATCACAGCATGTTTTCCGCCACAGCTTTGTTCTCGCTTTCGTCATCATCTGGCCTCACGTACTCCAAGTACTGATCCACCGTATAGTTAAACATGAGGAAGTCCATGTAGAACATTTTATAGACCTTCATCAGTTCGCTCCGGGTCACCTGCGAAAAGTACTCCCTGGTTGTGTTGCTGGTGGGGCCGCGTTTATTCCTGTTTCCCAACTGCGGTAGCAGCAGCTCTGTGTAATCTTTAATCCCAATCTGGTCGGCGATGTAGCGATTATCCTCCTCCAGGGTCTCAAACTTACCGATCAGGTCGTAGTCGACGTTGCAGGGTGTGCAGTGGGCGAAGTAGTGTTTCCAGTGTTCGTCTCCGACGTCCTGCGCGGCCACGCTGCGCATGAACTCCGGGAAGGTCAGCGGTGCCGGCTGACGCGGCGGGGGCGGTGGCGGAGGTCCGTTGAGCTCGGCCGCCGACACCGGCTGGGGTACCACGTCCTTCCGCCGGTGTAGCCGGACCATCTTCACCGCCTTGACCCAGTACGCCTGGCCCTGCCGGCGACCGTTGTTCTCGATCTTGTCACGGAAGGCGCTGAGCAGACGCTCGAACGGGTGGCGTACGACCAGGAAACGGTGTCGCACCGTCTTCGGCATCTGAAACACAAGCACAGACATTTGAGCAGGCTGCTGGACAAGCGCTAGGAATTTGCACACCATGACTGATGTCGAATCCAGACGTGCACTTTCGGGGGATAGGGTACAATTGAATGATCTTGTTTTTGTTTGTTTGTTTGTTTGTTTGTTTGTTTGTTTGTTTGTTTGCTTGTTTGTTTGTTTGTTTGTTTTTGGGCAGAGCGTCAGTCGAGTCCTTTATATTTGGGGAAAGCATTGTCCTAATACCCACCTCCCCTGAATTTCACAGCGTAACTTACGGTCCAGAAGCGAGGTATGTTACCCAGATGTCGGCGCAAAACCTCGATGGGACATTTCTTCTTGAGCTTGTGTACGGCGCATAGCAGGTGCAGCCAGTTGCTGCTACCGGCTTTAAATACTGGACACCAGACCACTGCATTAGCACTGTGGGCATAGGATGCGTCAGGCCATTCTGCCTATATTCTGCCTATCATTGCTCATGACTGCCTATCACTCAGCAGTCTGAGGCAGCCTAGAAGGGTTCTGGAGCTAATAGCAGTGTCTGTTTATCGAAACATTCAATTTATCATTCGATTTCTGCTTGGCTGTTCCTCGTGAAAGGATTCCTGACTCTAAATGAAAATATCTAAAAGCAAAACTTAAATTGATTATCATTTTGTATGTAAGATATGACGCTAAAGAAAGAAAAACGTTGGCTTACTTGTCGTGGAAGACGTTGGTGGTAATGGCTGGTGCCAGATATTTGGGATTTTGTTTGCAGACCTGTTGTATCCTCTCTCTCCTACGCTGCATTCGCTTTGCCATCCGCTCTGCCACGTCGTTCTGAAAAGAGAGACAAAGCGGCTGTTCAAATGTTGTTCTATATACCCTGGTCCCTGGTTCTAATGGAAGATAGAGCATAAGTCGTTTTGTTATCGTCCTGTTTTTTTTTTCTCGCTTATCGGTCCTTTTCTGCGCTTGTTTGGTCATTAGATAGAAAGCTTGACACTCGTCTATCGTCTTTGAACTTTCGGGAACTGGGGCTTATAATGTTACCCACATATTAATATAAGTTATCGTACATATTTCTAAAAGATGAAAGCAATCGGAAGTTGGATGATTTGCCTGCAGATGCGCTCAATGCCCTTCGCATGGTCGTGCTCTGCTTTGCGCTTGTCAGGATAACATGTGCTATGCTCCAAAGGTCGTCTATTTCGGCCATTCCCAAATTACTCTGTCTTTAGATCAAAGTTCATCATCAAAGAACATGTCACGGGTCAGTCGATCCATTCTGAACATACAAGGCTAGCTAATCAGACCGCCACATCACCAATCACCATAGATCAGCTTAGAGGGACTCTAATCATCCAAAACCAATGTCCCCAGTGGCGCTCATGTCCTGAGCGTCAGAAAAACAAAAACAAAAAATAACACTCCCGGTGTTTATGTCTGCTGAAAAAAGGTCCGGGATAATCTGGCATTTCATAGCCGGGTAATGCGATATGGAAGACTCATTGAACAAGCTGTTTGTAGGCATAAAAATACCGCTTATATTAAACAAAAAAAAAGGTGGCAGGAAAATTATCGAAGGTTGTAGGAGACATGCAAAATTAAACTAACCTTTCTTGTTTCTGGGCAAGTAATCAACCTTGTCGCTCCTATCTTATATTTTTTTTTCTTCCCTAAAATAGAGCTCGAAATCATGCTTGGACTGCCGAGGTCCGTGGAAGCTGCAACAGTTGCAACTTGAAATTGATACTGTTGTAGCTGCAACTGCAAGAGCTGCTACTGCAGCGTTTGATTTCATCTGTCTCAGTCACATGTGTTGCATCGTCGGTAAGTCATTGGCGTCTCTCGCTAACTTGGTTACCGTGCTGGCGAAAGCCTAATTTAAACATATTGCGCCGCGTGGCGTGATGGGGACTGGGCTGGCGGGGACTGGGAATGATTTATACAGCACAGATGTTGCATTGATACAAATAAGGATACATGGCTTATGGCAATGATTGGTCTTTTGTCGGCGAATCTTGCTTTGCACCTGAGCTCAAGGCATCGGGGGCCGTTAACGGCTCAACTCATCATCGTCCGTTGCAAAACCTGCATTGTGACTCAGTTCAGGCTGACATACAGACACCCATTTCCATATAAGGACGGATACCATTGTTTGGGTCCGCTGACTCCTTTTTTGGAAGGTTCGCAGTACTCATTGAGTAAACCTTCAGTTCCAATTATGTAGTCACGGCTACTGGTACATACTAAGAACTGCAACACTAAATACCAAGCTGCTCGTGCCGCTTGTACCCCGTACCGAACCCTTCACCACGTACCAGTTTGGTAACGCGGTCTGCACCCCGACCCCTCTACCGCGTTCTCAGCAGATCGCGCACTCGGCACGCGGGTGCTTGGCGCCTCGGGGGTAGTTGGCCAAGCGACCATCATCTCCGGTCCGTGCAGAGAACCGGGTGCACAGAGGGCGCTGGGCTGGGTCCGGTCCGTTGCCGCACGGAGACTGCGAGTCCCGGGATCTCCGCTTAGATATTCGCCCGGCAACATGGAGATGAGGCCAACAGGTGGTCACGAAACCACCCGGCGACTACGAGGATACATGCTAATCACACATTTGTTAACCGCCCTGAAAAACGGCGTCTAGTTTTTAGAGCGGCGGAGGCGAGCGGTTTTGTGATCGTGCTGTCAGTTGTGGGCAAAGTTTTCACCTCTGGCCATTTCGCAGCCATTGACCCGGGCAGGGGCGCAACGGTCAGCTGTGGTATGAAAAAACTCTGGGCGCGTGATGCGGCGGCAGGACGTGTGTGAAGGTATACCCGTATATTCCGAGACACCTACTGAGCTGGCGGTGGTGGGTCATGGGATGATCTCAGATCTGGCTGGATGGAGGGGGCGGCGTGATTTATCTTACCGGAGGTTTGCCTTTCACAACAGTGCCTTATTAACGTTTCGTTTCGGCCAATTTTTTCCATGCTATTTTTATTATGACAAATACTGCGGTATTTAGTGGACACATTGCCATAGTGATTAGTGCTTTATATTACTTCATTTATAAATACATGATAAATTTACTTATGTTCAATGTAATGACCTGTGATAGTGCTTTCCTTATGATGGACTCTCTGTGATTGTTCCAATGTACTTAATGAATTGATGTGTTTTAACACTATGAAACGCACCGTGAATATGGTTAATTGCACGAAGATTGATTTACCTTCCGCATGTACCGCCAAGGAAATTACACTGTGGAAGTTGGCGCATTATGCATAACGCATTCGAGTATAATTTGCCAGGGCGTTTTATTGCATGAAGATTGAAGTCAAGCATAGTTATTGCATGAGTGTCGATTGTGATAGGCTGTGACATTATGGATGTCATTACACACTGAGCCACTGAGCACATAAAACCTGCAATGAAGGCTGGTGCATGAACGTGACACTTGCCGCTGGCTACTTACTTGGATGATGCGTAATAATTAATAATTATTACGGCCATAATAATGATGCCTTATGTCCATAAGGTAATTATTTACATGGAGGTTGCTACATATGCAGCCTCATATACATATACATAGGGTACAACATATGTAGCTAAAATCGGCAAATTACAGCTATTGCTAAGCTATTGAGTCATTCTCATTCCTTGATTTTGTGATTACACATTTAAAATTCACCGACAAAGGATGTGTACTGAATGGGGAGAAGGCGGCACTGGAACGTCTGAAATGTCAGGAGGCATTGTTCTTCATCTGTTTAGCTTGTCTATATGACGCGAAAAGTGGCTCGTTCTAACATCATGACACAGTGCCGACACAATGCACCATCAGTCCTCACACACTGCCTTTTTGGACGTCTGAAGATGGCAAGTCACTGCTCTGCATGACATGATGCTATTGGCATGGTTCGTGACGACGCTGCGAAAGTGGGCTAAAGTTCTACCACTGCAGATGTGTGTCTGGGCGATTACTCGAGGCAGAAGCGGAACCACGCGGTTAGCAAGGCGCCGTCGCAGCGCCGCCGCTGTCTCGCTCAACTGACCGAACCGCGTCGTGATGATTCGCTTTGTGCGTTGGAGCGGAATTTCTGGAGAAAGTACGAACGGTCGGGAAGAACATGACTTGAAATTCGCGTTTTAATTAGTTTTATTTTTATAGTAAAAACTACCTAAGAGCTGGTAAATGAACTCGTATTGGCTTTTTATCTCCGGATCAGCTGCACGATAAAATCGAGCTCATTTCCCCCTGGATTGTCAAAATACGTTAATAAAGATGGTACCGGCTGAAAATACGAAGAGGTTACCACTTACCACTATTTTCTCCATCAAGATATTGACTTACTCCACTCAGCTATCGCCCAAGTAGCACCCACTCGGGAAAATACATTATCGATATTCACTTTTGGGAGGCATAAAGGCAAGCTCTGCCAGCGCAAAGAAAAGCTACATTCCTTCGCTCTCACCTGAGCCGATGACGCTCCTTCTGTCGTCGCTGACGTCTCCTTCAGCTCTTGTCGCTCTACGTCAGCAGCGACGGAGCGAACCGTCGTCGCCGTTTTCGGCGGAGCTGGCGGCGGAGGTGGCGGCTCCTGGGTCGTCTGGTCTTCGACCCTCACCCCCGGTCCAATGGGTACTTCCTGCTCCCGACCAGCGGTGCCGCTCTCTTCTACCGCCGAAGCCTGGTGAGCATATCTAGCGGTCACCGTAGCCGTCCACTGGGAGGTCTGCCAGGAGCCCTGCAGAGCGGTGGTGAAGAGCGCCAAGACGGCCAGCAACGTGAGCAGCATCAGCAGCTGCAGCTGCGGCTTCCGGAGAGAGCGACGCGCCACTGATGATAATGCCACGGCATAGCACTTCACTGAAGGCGGAACGGGGGAGGAGCGGATTATCAGCACGCACCAGAACAGGGGTGGGGCGGAAATTAGTGAACGCCATGGCGAGGTATTGCACGCACCATGCAGGGGTGGAAGGGGGAGGGGAGCGGTCAATCATCAGATATCATGATAGGGGGCGAAGGGGGGGCGCTGAAATTAGCGCACAATGGGCTGGGTGGCGGGTGCAATAGTTCACTGAGGACGGAAAAGGACGGGGACTAACAGTTAGTGGAAGGCAGAGTTCGCGGTATTTACGCACCTGATTGGTGGGAGTGGGACATAACGGGACAGTGCGTCATTGGGAGGGGATGGGAACGGGAAGGGGCGGCGGACAGTGGCGAAAGGCAACAAGCTTGTCACATTGCAGCCAAGTTGTGTAATTCCAGCGTGATCCTGATCCTTTTTTATCGGAAACTGCGAGTCAAGATAAAGAAACCACAAATTGCTCTACCACATTTGAATTACCGACAGCATTAGGTACGTACATGGGGATGACGGTAGTCTGGCGCGTGTCATATTGTTTCTCGTGACAGTCGGTCATCATCCAAACGGCAGACCTTGTAACCGAAGGACCCACTCAATCTCTGGCTGTTTTATTGCGCTGGGTGCGCTACTCGCCCTCCACTGTCCCTGCCGTGCGACCTGCCGGGCTGGCGGTTCAAGGGTTACGGCCGCCGGGGCATCCGGCGGGCGGGCGGGTCCGTACCGTTCCACCGACCTCACGGCGTGCCGGCACGCTGCAGGATAGGCCACGGCAAACGGGTCCCCCTACCGACAGTGTGGTGTTCTGTACTAGCCGACCCGCCCGCGCTGGGTTGCAATACGCAGATTGGGCTCTATCATCGTTCTCTACTGAACCTATATGCATTATTCACCCTGGAAATCGGTCCATCGCTCCCGCACACACGCGGATGTGTACTGGATGTGCACTGTGCACACGTGCGCTCACTGCTCTTTGCACGCAGCGGTGCAACGTCTCGGCTCGTCCGGTCGTCCGTCTTGGGTCGTCCACAGCCCGAGGGGATCATTCTGCGTCCGCCGGCTGAGCTGAGCGGCCGGCCCGGGCGCGGCAGTTGCCCGGCCGCTCCCAGGCTGGCGCCCAAGCACCGCCGGCCGGCCTATAGGACCTTGCCGCGGCGCCGGCCGGGCCAGCGCAGCCGGTACCGAGGCGCCGCACGCGAGGTGTGATGACCGCTCTCCTTTCAAGCTTGGCACGAGTAACGGCGCGTCCAGCCGTCACCCGGGGAAGGTGTCCCAGAACTGAGGGCGTGTCAGCACTTTTGGCAGAGTGGGCCAGTTGGTCCCAGTGCGTGTCCGAAGTGTGCTGATCAACGGGACGATAATACGTTTCTTAAATAAATACTTTTGCTAACATTTGCTCATGGGTGAGATTGGCCGAGCGAGGTTCGCGTCTCAGCGCCCGTTTGCATTTTTCTGCGTATCCCTATCTAACAGCGTTATCAAACATTAAAATTCTAGACCCGTCTTTCAAGGTCAGGTCACCTCGTCACGTCAATTGACCTGATATCAGGACACTTGACGTGACGTGGTGACCGACTTTCAAAAAAGACAGGTCTAGAATTTTAATGTGTGATAATATGTATAAGGACAGGTTGCTCGCCATAGCAACAGCGACTGAACGATTGCTTTGAAACTTCAAGCGATTTATAAGGCTCACAGTACTTACAAAACTCAAACTTTTATCTCGGAATATCGATATATATGACTTAAGGTCAGGTCAATTTTTCAACCTCCCCATTTTAACCCCAGCACTGCTGGTGGCAGGAGTATTTGAACATCGGCAGGCTTTTTCTGCACATGTGAAATTTTCAGACCTGAGACCCAGAGGCCAGAACTTTTAAAGGTCACCACGACCCACGTCAACAGATCTCACGTCAGGAAAAGTTGCAAATGGTAGGTACTGCTCGTCATTGATGCACCTAGGTACTGGATGCTCGCTTTGAAAGTTTCAACGATTGACAAGGGTACCTATAAGTCATGTTTAAAACGTTTTTCTCGGAATTTCGACATTATTGGTGACCTAAAGGCAGGTCAAGTCGCGACCTTTCCATTATAATTCATTGGGGATACTTAAACTGCGCTTCTTTTGGACGAAGGTCATTAATTCTTAACACTAACAAGCATCGGTTTACAGATAAACGTGAATAACAATTGCACCCGTGACCTCTATGGTTCTGAGGTTATTTCAGGCCGTAAGAGATTTCAAACAGTTTTTCGACGATAGGTACATTTTGATAGACATGGTAGCGGCCGCGGGATGATACGAATAGCACATTGGATGTGATCACTGTTCACTGATCAGCCCCACGATACGGATCGATTGATATGCAACAAATCATTTTCCGGACACGGTGAGGTCATGACCTTGACGTTAGGTCATACTCATCATAGTTTAAGGCTAGCTTCGCAGGCTAAGTTACAGCATATTTAACGCGTGTTGACGAGAGGTAGGTATGTACCTACACAATGTTGGTAACATAAATGCCGTGCTAGTTTTGGGTTAATAATTATTGCAGAAAAAGGTTTCCTGGGAAAACGTTAATTTTGACAATCTGTGCCCTCTGGAGACTTAACCGTTTATTTAATGTAAAATGTGAGAAAAACATTATAAGCGTTTTAAGATCTACCGAATGTTTTCGCTTCCGAGATATGCACTGTTTGTTCAAAATAGTATAAGGGATTGATAAGAGCTCAGGACAAGTAGTATTGAAATGGGATAAGCAATGGGAACTATTTTGAATTATATTCTTTTGAATTGGCCAATTCAAAAGAATATAATTCAAAATAGTTCCCATTGTTTATCCCATTTCAAAAGTATAAGGGATATTTTACCCTTCGATGACCTCTAGCGGCCTGACCTTTGACCTGGCTTAAAATGACTGAAGGTATTTCTTCATGATTTTGACGTTCTTTCGAACGTTGCTAACAGAGTGCCGCTACGGGGCAGGAGCCGAATTAGAGGGGAGCGTTGTCAATTCCCGACCCTCAGCAAGGCGTGGAATTCCAGGAGCTCCGGCGGCGGGACTCGGGTTTGGGGGTGCGTTTTCCCGTGTTACCCTTTTCCATAGAGTACGTGCGATGCGCGTAACTTACTTTTGATTGCGTTGCTTTGGCTGAGGTGCACGAGGAGAATCCAATGGTGAATGCTAATAAACGCTGCGATGGCTGAAAGAATCACTTCACGTTTATGCTGTCACGGTCTGCAAGCTCGTGAGAAGTGATAAAGAGCTTCAGCTCACACTCCAATGAATGCCCCGTTCTCTGGATATCACTCTTCTGAACCTTGTTTTAACGAATACGCAGGCATATCAAAACACAAGTCTTTGGTTTCTGTCACATAGTTTTCTCATCATAGCCCAATGGATAACTTCTAAATTATTTCAGGCTATGAAGACTTCGCTTCATCTCCACCCATTTCACCACTATCGTCCAAGTCTCCAGCACTTCTACCAGCCACCGAGCAGTGATGATGGTCTCAGCTTAGTTCACCGCACGGACGGACCCTCCCGTGCGTTCGAGCGCGCGTCTGCCGGCAAACTGACTACCGTCTGTGCTCACCGGCCTCGTGCGGTGCGCCCGCCGACGCCCGCCTGAGTGCCCACCGACGCCCGCCTGGGCGCCCGCCGACGCCCGCTGGGCGCCGACGCCCCGGCAGCTCGGCAGCTCACAAAGTACCCCATTCCGAGGTATTGTCCAGGCAGTGAGGCGGTAATGAATGCGCAAAGGCGTGTCCTAATCCCTGCTTTAGGAGACTTCAGCGTTGTACTGTAAGCAAAAGGTTGCGTCAAAGCTGACAGAAGCCAAAACTTCCAATGCCATTATCAATTACGTGTTTAGTTAGGTACTAGTAGGTAGTGTATGAGCCGGCATTTTCTGAGTCATCATAAGCTCGTTTCGCTGTCTAAATTATTTGTCTCTAAATCATAGGAGGTGCCTAAATCATTTTATGTTCACACAGAGGAATACGGTAGCAGTAGAATACGGTACTGGGAAGCAGGAAATAAAAGCATTGAAGGGCAAGGACAAGCATTGGAATAAAAAGCGAACATCAATTTTGCAAAGCATGGAATGCGAAATATTAAAACATGCCTGATTTAAGTGCAGATCTGACTTCTGAGATAAGTTTGACTGGTCTTTCTTTTTTTTTGCAGCCAGTGATCTGTGTACCCGTCCTATTTCAAATAACTTTCATTTAGTCTTGCTTATTATAGGTATAAGAAGAAATGACTGTTCTTCGGCTCGGTGCTCGCTTGGTTCGCGGGTCTCTCGACCCTTACGTTGTTTGGTTCACTCAAATAATTTAGCTGTCAAATAAGAAAAGACGTTTTTTCGCAGACGACTCCGGACATACGAGTATTTATCGTCCTTCCAACATATCCCTTTCCCAGGCAAATGCCTCAAAATGGCTAAAAGTACTGTAGTGCCGAAAACAGTACGTTCAACAGACATCTACCAACATTCAAGACAACGAAGACTTTGAACTCACCTTGGACGGTCGTCACGTCACAGGACATGCCTTACCATATTGCGACATTTTGTAAATAGTTAGTTATTAGTTATCTTGGGCTGAGGCTTCAAACGACTTTTATCTTTTGCGTCATATCACCGGTACGATTAATTCCTGCATTGGGCCAGTCTAACCAGCAACAATTTCATTACCAAGTGTTTACTAAGTGTAAAAAGTGTTAAAGTACCTATATAATGCTTCCCGTCTTAGTGTTTGTTGTAAAGGCACAGATTCAGTCACCATTCGTGCATGCATTGTTGACTTTGAAATCCCAAATCTGACTGAATACCCCCTGGTGATCAAGATGTCCAGGTTTGCACCCGCAGTGTCTCATCGGTTTGGTCTTGACTGGCCGAGCTTCGTCGTGACGCCTGTTCTGCTCTGGAGTGACGAACGACGGCCCAGTCGAGTGACCATCAACTGTTGTTATGCCCGTCTTCGCGGTATGCACGCTAAAAGTGACGTATCGCATCAAACCAGTTTCGCTTGTTATCGCTATGGAATGAAGATTGGAGATGTGGGTATGCGCTACGCCTAAAGTGTATGGTATGTACAACATACATTATACCTACATACCTACCTATTACCTACATGTATGAATTCATAGTTACGTCTCCACTCTCCACCGTTGATGTTTGTTAGAAGGTGACTACTGACTAGCAGAGGTGACTTCTAAGCACAAAACTGGATCTTCTCCAATCTCCAGTTCCTTCGGTACATCATAGGGCCTTGGTTTCCGCGTGTTGGGTCTTCTTCAGTCAGGTGGTCCACGAGGAAGGAATGTGCAGCAGCGACACCTATATCAATATGTAAAAGGCCGCTCTCACCAGTGAACATGCTTTGGATAGAGGGCGCTGCACTCTCCACTCGACGTTCTTCGAAGGAAACTCGTGCTAGTAGCTTGTCGTCAGTGATCAGGGCATTATGCTGTTGTTCTTAGATTTGCATGTTTTTGGACAAATCATTAACATTTAAAGGATTTCATAGTCTCCCTAATACAGTTTAGAAAGATACCATCTTGCTGCAAAGCCAGAGGTGATTTGTGTGTAACGGTGCTACGCTACGCTACAGCACTGGAAAATGCATGCGATCCTATAGATGGTAAGACACTTCAGACAAATCCCAGAATTTCGATCTGTTACTTTTCACCGTAAATAAAATACGTAATAGTAAAAGCTTTCTCATGAATTAGACCATTGTCGATTTTTTTTAATTTAGTAGCAGCGTTCTGTACATTCTAGGCAAATATGGCGCAGCAAAATATTTGAGTACATTTGAAGCGCATTGTTGCGTATTTGGCGCGCGTATCTCGTGGATTGTTTACAACACTGTTAACAAAGTTCAAGAAGTTGTGACTATTTTTTTAATTTGAAGCATTTTCTGGGCTAAACTTTCATTGAAGCAATGATTCATTTGTCCAGATTGAGATGAAGAGTTAAGAATTTGTGTGCATACTTATTCGAAAACTGTGCCCACCGAAGTGCCTGAGGCTGGTAGGTGGGTTCAAACAATTTTGATATTTATTTTCCATTTTCATTTCTGTTCTTTTAATGAATTGAATATGCTGCTTCTTTGGTGTTTCTAGCATCTTATAATGGTTGACAACCAGTTAGAAGAGCTCAAAGAGCTACATTGACATCAATTTTGGGTCCATCAGTTAGTTGAAATAGGTACAGTGTTTTTTGTTAAATTTAATAGCCTGGTTTATTCTATTCCTCAACTTATTGTTCTCAAATGACTGCATTGATCTATTAAAGGAATGGTGACTGTCTCTCATTCCTCCAAGTTTTGCTATATTGAGTCCCGACACGTGACATTGGAATGTTGATAAGTATCACGGCTGTGGCTGCTGGAAGCCAGGCTTGGTCTGGACTGGAGAAGGAATGTTTGGGCATGTCCAGGAGCCTCTTTGTCTGGTCTCACCTCTCTTGAACAAAACATAACTGGGTGAAGTCCTTCAATCAGTGAGCAGAAAGGCTAGGCGTCAATCCTGATACAGATCAGTTATCATAGGTTTTTGAGTAGGTAGTAGCCTACTACCTGCTCAAAAACCTACCTACTACTAGTAGGTACCTACTACTAGTAGGTACCCACTACCCACATAGGCTCCTACCTTAGGGCTTGACTGGAAAAGAGCTTAGAAGGATAAGAAAAGAGCTTAGTGATATCTAAGTGTGGCTGACTTTCAGCAATTGGCTCTTCCACATTCCACATTATTTAAGATCATGTTTTGATATTACTGAAAACTGGTTATAAATGCATGTTAAATATGAGAAAAAGATCAGAATGGATCTGATGGTTAGTGTGGTTGAAGAATTGCTTCTGAAATCAGGCATTAACATTTCATATTTTTGTTGCAGTTTTCACTGGACTATGGTGTTGATAGGGTGTTGTGACTTCATAGAATGTATCCTAGTACTCTATTACATTTTAATGTTTAAACTCAGCTTTCATATGACAGACCTACCCAATGCTTAAGTGTATATCTGTTATTTCAGAATGATTGCATTTAATGAAAACAATTATGCTATCATCTGTAGACCAATTTCTAGCAGCTCTGCTAGATTCACAATCACAACAGGTTTGCCAGTCAATACACCAGTAGGACGCCTTTTGGGGCGACTAACGGAGCGAGCGAGAGGGTGGGCCTTGCACGTGCAAAATTTCGAGGGGGTACCTCCAACTGACTTGTGCATGGCACCTTACCAACCGGTCTCTAGCGATGTGCCAAATTTGAGCACAATCGGCCCAGCCGTTCTCGAGATCTGGAAGCGGCACCCTGCACGTGCGCACGTGCAAAATGGGTCCCAACTGACTTGTGCACGGCACCTTACTAACTGGTCTCTAACTGTGTACCAAATTTGAGCGCCATCGGTCCAGCCGTTCTCGAGATCTGGAAACGACCCCTGCACGTGCGCACGTGCAGCAGCACCCCAACTCTGGCACATGGATATGCAGTGCCTAGTGGGTGCCTACCTACATGCCAACTTTCAGCGCAATCGGCCAAGTAGTTACCGAGATATTGCAACAATTATAAAACTGACACCTCTTCGTTTTGCACGTGGCACGTGCATAAGGGGTCACCCACATGCATCGGGAATATTCCAATACTTGGTAGAAGGAATGAAGCTACCCTACAAAAATTACCGCGTGTAAATCGGTCAAGTGGTTGCTGAGATATAAGCCTCGCAAAAGCGTCCGCACGGCCGGCCGGCCGGCCGGCCGCTCATACTCAGAAATTTCCGTTATTCTACGTAAGACTCCGCTCGCTTCGCTCGCTCCGTAATAAGTGGTCCTAGTTGCATGACAGGAGGGTCAGCAAATTTTTGGATCAGCAGGATATGAAAAATGCTATTCTAAGAGCTGAATATGATTATGGGTCATAATTTATGACCCATAACAATACCTGTCTATCATATGTTGACATTTATTTGTATGATAGGCATTTCATTTGCTGCCAGTGAAGACACTTCTTTCCAATGCATATCGCCGCAAAAATGTGTTCAGCAGCTCACCTTAACAATCAAAGGAATTCTGGCTATCTCGCTGCATTGCTCTTTATTGGCGGTAGGAGGAATTATGGCGACACCACAGACATTTATTTCCCTTTGAATCCTACAGGGACTCTCCAATGCGATGTTACAAACCCCTAGCTCGCCGGATTTTATAGCATCCGGCTGACATCATTATTACTCGGCCATGGGCCGTTTTTGTTCTCCCGCTCGGGATCACTGGGATTGCCGGCGCGTGTCCGGTCTCTGGTCGGCACTCGGCCCGGCTCTCCCCATCGAGTGTGCTATTCGCACTGACCGTGTGATGGGTATTTGCTCAGGTCGCGTCATCTTACCCGCCGGGCCCGTCTGACCCGCCGGGCCCGTCGTCGGACCCTCTGGGCCTGTCTGACCTCCCCGTCTGCTGACCCGTCCGCCATCCTCCGGCGATCATACCTTCGACTGCCCACGGCATCAGCGGCGTAATTAGGGGATGCCGGCCGACCAGCGCGCCCCAGAACCGGTTGGCAGGGCGGAGAGGCGGCACCGACTGGCGGCAGCACCCCCGGCGGCGGCCGTCCGGGCCTGGGACCCGCCCGAGAGGTATGGAGTCGCGCACGGCATCCGGCGCCCCGCATTCATGACACGGGTCGCCGATGCACAGTGGCCCTTTTTCAGAATTAGCACGCATTAATTCCCACATTACCTGAAAGTGGTGCAAGACGTCAACACGTGATCAAGGACGTATTCCCTGCCAATGCAAAGAGAAGAAAAGAAACGAACTGCCCAAGGAGATTCGGCCCAACAGCGACAGGCCACTCGGCCCAAGATTTGGCGCACGTTCGTACGGCTCGCCCGCCGGCCAACCCGCTCCGGACGCAAGTGTGGCGAGCCCGCCAGCCGACCGCGCTGCACTGACCGCCAGGACGCCCCAGGGCGTCACGTGACCGCATCTACAGCTGTTGCCAGCCACCATTAGTATAATTTCAAATAGCACATCTTGTGGCAAAAGTCAAGCCACATTTAGGCGCACACCAGACCTGACACTAGCTTCGAGCCAGGTCAATGAGCTTAGTCGTATCGAACAGGAGCCACAGCCTCTCGCGGACTGAACTGGCTCACGTTATCCACCGTAGAAGCAAAATGGCGCAAAATGGCGCGATGCCCTTTGGCGGACATGGTCAGAAGAGATCGGCGATTCGAACGATGTATAATACGACATGTTCCAGAGTGTGCCACTTAACATAAAGCTTCATATGTATGCCGCCATCTCAAGTTAATAATTGTCCTGTTATTGTGTCCACAACATTCGGCAAAAGTGGTCTGTTTAAGTTTATATAATGAAAATAGTGGTTTCTAGGGCTTCTACGTAAACTCAGCTTCACAGCCATGCCACTCATTTTTAATATTTTTGCATCGAAAGTCTTACAAATTGATGTTTATCTCACTCTACTTTTTAGGGTCCGCCGGTGGTGTCCGCGCGCCTCTCGACAAACTTCGATTTTGCGGTCAATTCTACCAAAGATAATTATTTTTTAGGAGGTAAAAATGGCACCATCGGATAGTTTGGAATGTTTTGCACACGATAAGACTGCTTTTTACTCAAAAGAAGAGAAAAAATATTTTGAATTTATGCGTGCTAATTCTGAAAAAGGGCCACTGTGCGATGATCGGACCGTTTTCGGCTTCAGTGGAGCGCTGATTGGAAGAATGGACGGTGGTGGCCGGCTACAGAGAGGAAATTAGGATATCGTGGTTTGGTGGAGTTATATCACATGGACGTGGAAAGACTACTTTTGTGGTGTATCGATCTCCTGTATCGTAACATTTCAACATCGGAAGGAAATCCGGCGGCGAATGCTGAAAAGTTGTAGCGACTCGGGCTCATTTTCTCAAATTCCGGTCGCTGATGGCCCATGGTCGCAGCCCGCGTTATTGCGCTGGTAGTTAACGGTCGCTGCAAAATACCATAAATCTTGCCCGAGAGGCCTGCGCTGGTGGGTTCCAAGAACTGGGTGTGCTGCGGTCGACTGATCCCGCGGGACGTGGCGTCTCTCGACCTCATCAGACCAGCGCGGCTCAGCCGCAGCTGGACACAATCTGACCAGATAACGCGGCGCAGCTGGAGATGATGCTGTCTCTCTGCCTGCCTAGGGATCTCAGCTGTTGCTTGTCGAGGTTTTAGTAACCCAGGAATCTGCTGATCCTCTAGGGTCCTTTGATGAAGAGCATGTCCTGGGAAAACGCCTCCCAAAACCTTAGGTTGGTTGACCTATCGACGCTCAATTGGACTCCCGCAGGCGAAGGTGATTCTCAGGACTTTTCGAGCACTCGCGGCCAGCGCGCGGTGGCAAAAACAATGGATGATGAATGGAGTGTTCGGCCTTCCGGCAATTTTGCCATTGGTGGTCGGACTGAGCCCGCAGTTTGGTCAGCTCTGTCGGAAACGGTGGCCTGCTCCCAGGCCCCCGTCCCACCGTTGATGTTCGTAATTTGCTGGCGTCAGCTGACCGCCGGCGAAGGTCACGGTCACCTGCGCTGGGCTGCGTCAGGTGCAGTGACTGCTCCCCCCCCCCCCCCCCCCGTCAGCCGCCGGGCAGGTGCCATCGAGCCGCCGCCGCCGCTCGGCGCCCGGCGACGGCCGCTGTGACGTCACGGCTCATGGAGTGACGTTATTTCTCGTCTCGGACAGGTGGCGCCCCTGGCGGCGGACGGCGCAGTGAGCGGGGCCGCCGGCGGCCGCCGCTCAGTCCGTGAGGGAGCGGGGCCGCGCGCGCGCGACGATCGCTACGCTGTGCTGCAGTGGGTCGACAGAAGCGTCACGGAGCGCCAGGCGGCCACCACGCTGATCTCAGCGGCCCAGGCAGCGCCGCCGACCACGCACCCGCCCATCACGGATGAGAGGTGAGTGCCGTACGGCTGGGGTCATGAGTGGGCGCGGGTGGACGCTGGGCAGCGCCGTACCGCGCTGTCATCTTCAGGGTCACATGTCTTCGCCAGATGTCGCTGTTAGGAGCGTTGAGACGGGGTTTGTGCGGCTACATCCCGATTTTTTTAGCCTTGTATACCCGCCAGACTTATGACTGATGGGTCTGTCCGTGATGTGTGTGTCTTAGGAGCGTGACCGGCCGAGACGGACTGTTTAGGTGACGTCAGTCGGTTTTTTCGCCCCGCGCCTGGCGTCCGTCCATCCGTCCGTGGGTGGCGCCGCGCGGACGCAGCCGATAGCCAAACACACACCCGAGTCCGAACCACGTCCGGCGGTGCGCGGCCCTCTTCCGTCCGTCCGCGACTTCTGGCCGCGACCGAGCGCTGTCCCGTGGACCTCGGACCCTGTCGTCACTGCCCAGCGGCCGAGCGGCCGGGCCGTGCTGCGCCATGAGAAACGTGAGCTGGTGTTGAAACGTGCTGTGTATATCGGAGTGAACCCAACTGGTGAGGTGACTTCCTGGCCTGACGGGAGCTTAACTTCCTGGCTTGGTAGCTATGGAGGATTCTAGCTCCCTAATCGATGACAGACTAGTGACTACGTCACTGTCTGGGTAAGCGATGCAGCGTTGGTCGGGCGGCTCGGCCGTGCCGGGGTGCAGCCCGCTGACCGGTCACGTTTCATGCCCCCCCGGTCCCCCAACCCCTCGATGTGGGGTAGTACTCCCAGCACGTGTACGACGTGCCTGGATCGGACGGGGAGCGCCCCCTCTCCTCCCCACCACTACTCCCCATCTGCGGCATCTGCCAGCTGACCTGGGAAAGGAGTGGACCGTCCCTGCGAAACCCGTCATCAGTCCACAGTGTCAAGATCAGCTCTAAAATCTCAGGATGTATTTCGGGTAAAGTCTAAATACTTTTCCTTCCCGGGCCAAGAGGCAAATCGTGTTTGCCAGCTCGACTCGGCCGCCGATTCCTGGTCCGCCAGGCAGGAGTTTAGCGAGTTTAACAAGAGTTGTTGACATTTCCCGTGTGTCGGACAAGTCACGGCCTCTGCTGGTGAGTTGTTCGGGCTGTCGCTGACCCCAACTGCCCTCGCCTGGTCTGAACAGCTCGCCAGCTTCCTTGTCGAGTGGCTTGGGGCTGCGGTGGCTCGGCCGTAGCCCACAGCTATGTCCGGTGTACTCTCGTAGCCGTCAGGAGCGGGCGGAGTTGAGAGCAGCGTGGTCGCTCGGGACGTGACATGGAGCCCATCACGGTGCGGCCCAGCGACTGGTATGTTTATGGGCGCGTCACCAGCGCGGGTGGCGGCGCGGACGAGTCATACGGGCCGCCACAAACATGGCTGGCTGGGGAGAGGGCGGAGACGACGGCCGGAGAGCCGTGTTTATACAGAGTGGACACTGGAGGGCCGCCACGGCTGACCGGTCGCAGACCGAGTGACTATACCCAGGGGTATAGTCACTACCACAGGGCTGTGGTATGGGGGAGGCAGACTGCACCGCGCCGTGACTATATCCTGCTGGCCAGGGGCTGGGTCGAACAAGACACTCGGCTACAGATAGCCGGCATGTTCAATAGAAGGGTCATCATATTTGATTAGTGCTCAGACCAGATCAGTACTGATGGAATTGAGCTCGTGTTGGGTCTGAAGGGTGCACTTTGTTTCAGTTGCTGGGTAGACGAGATACTGTCAGCGGTGTAGGATCGTTGGCGGTGTCAGTTCGCTGTGCGTTACTGATTAAAAGTTGCCAGCTCTCTGGGTTCATGTCACGGGCTTGTATCTCAGGACAGGCGTGGCGTGCACCTCAGGACAGGCATCATTTGTCTTTATGACGTCTGTTCTGACCTGACCCCAGCTTTTGCCCGGTGCATCTCCCCCGGATCCATCGTGGCCACAAACCCATTATCCGCCGCCACTACCGTCCCATCATCGCCAACCGGTCGCCTGGGATCTCTGCATGAAACGGCACACCGTGCGACAATCCTTTCACTCGCGTCGGCCCATGGGAGCAAAGGATGCCGCCCGTGTGCGTGTTTTCACTGCATTAGCGGTCATTAAGGGATCAATTACCCCGGCTGGGTGGGTCCCCTTCCGGCGGCGGCGGCTGTGTTTCAGGGTCGCGCGGACCGGCTCTGTCACTCTCCAGTCGCCGCTGTGCCCCTCCGCCGGTGATCGCAGTTAAGCCGGGCCGCGCTACCCCCGATTCGGCGGCTTTACCCTCTCACTGCGTCCTAGGGTTGGGAGGATTAGGCGCTCCGTAAAGCTGTCATTAAGTTTTCCTAGAGTAGAGTGTTTTGCATCGTGAGGCGCTGAGTTCTAGGTATTTTAGTGGAAAAGGAAAGGCAGGATTATTCCAGTCACCTTTTAAGCACATATGGATAAGAGCTGCTTTGCATGAGTGTTTGTGGAATGCATTTTAAAGTCAAAAAGTGTTAAATAGAGGCCCAGTCGTCAATTAGGCTGCAAAGCAATCGACAGTTCCCTTCTACGGTTTAATCAACAAGTAGATCAGAATTCGAGCTGTATGGCCATTGTGTTGTCCATGATTATAAACTGCAGGAAAGGCGACACTGTTGATCTTCATAAAACAATATGTCATTCTTTTGTATTTTTAGCAATTAACCTACCCTACAGTCCAAGCAACGTGTTGCATGTCTGTGCACTCTGAAACTTGAAGCGATACCTCGAACCGTTGTTTTCATGCCACTGCAAGTTGAATACGGAACATGCAAAATTTACCGTACAAGAGTTATGTGATCTGCAGATAACTTGGTTACAAGCAGTTTAGGGAATAGTCACCGCTCGCATAACTTTTACCATGTCGGAAGCGGTTCGTGGTCCGTCAGAATCAGGAGTAGGACTACCGACCAGCTTCGATGCTCCCACTGGCCGTGCCCGTTCCTTACCGGGACGAACTCGGGGCCATGAGCTCCGCCTCCACGCGCCATTTGTCCGGCCAAGACGAGCGGCTCTCAGTGTCCCTCCATTGCCGGACGTCGGGCAGTCCATGGCCGATTCACGATCCGCGGACTGCCATCTCGTAACTCTGTCGGCACGGCGACGAACGGCGGGCGTGGACCGACAGGAGCTACCGGAGTTGGTCGGACCGACTGGGCCCACCCTTCGCCTTGGATCACCGCCCCCGCCGCTGCCCTCGCCATCGCCATCGTCGCCGCCGCCGCGGCGCTGCTGGCCACCTCTCGGAGGCGATCAGTCGGTGCTTAAAAGTTATTCGGCCATCCGTCTTAGAGCCACGGCCGGCGGCTATTTTAGGGGTCAGCCCGGCGACCTCCCACGGTGAAACGAGCGCCGCGCCGCGCCCGGCGGCTATAGTCGTCCGCTGGGTAGTTTATTAGAAGCCGACGTTCTCCTTGGCTCACCTGAACTACGAGTATAAGTGGTGTATCAGAAATCAGTGGAATCACTCGAGCCTTCTCTGTGATGTCACTCATGACAGCGATCAAATAGACCAGCCCGCTATCTAATCTTCTCTAGCGTGTTTGCGTTTACCCAACAAGCGAACACAACCGATGCGTTCAGGGGCCATCTTATGTCTGAAACATGTGACCACACCACGCTCTTCCCCCCCCCCCCTCCACCCATGGTCCTCACTCCTCGCCGCCCCATCCCCCCGGCAGCCACTTTGCCTGTGCGGGGAGCGCTCCTGGCAGCGTCGAGTGGCTCATGCCTGGCCGTACCGCTAGCATCGATCGACTACGGCCAGTGACGTCAGACGCGACCGGCCGTGGCCTGCTGCCCGTGACCGAGCGGTGAGCGCTCGCCGTGACGTGCCGTGGGACGTGCCGTGACGTGACAGACGTGGCGGACGTACCGTGATGAAGTTTGAGCCATGCCGTGGCGTACCGCGCTGTGTCGTGACGAAGAAGCTTGAGCTGGCCACTGAAATAGATCAAGCTGTCCGGCTGTCTACCCAATCCGATCTGAGCCAATCTAGAGTCTGTCCGAGTCCTGTCACGGCCCTGTCAGAGCCGTACCGAGTCGCTCAGAGTCTCTGAGTCACTCTGAGTCGCTCAGCAACCGACCAACGTCTGTCAGCTCAACGGAGCTGTCTCCGCGGAGCACCTGACAGACTGTGACAGCGCCAGGGGCAGACATCACAGCGACGGCACTCAGATCACGGCGACACTGCTCGACATCGTCTGACATTGCCATGCCCCGGGGCAGAGCCTAGTTCGCCGAACGCCAGATCCGGGACGCGGCGACCGCGGCGCGGCTATTCGGAGCCCCAGCCATAATTCAATAGAGCCGGGTCGACCTGCCGGCGAGGAGAGACGCCCGGCCTGTCCTTGCCAGGTGTGAGACGGAGCGGCCTCGAACCGCGACTGGCACGGTCTGACATGGGCATGACATGGTGTCGAGGTGACGCCAATGCGGCGTGGATGGTAATGGGTGAGCCCTGGGCGGCCTGTGGTTTCGGAGAACCAGTTGGAGGTCTATTTAGGTTAAATTGCTAAATAAACACACTGATGATGATGGATTCAGACGTCGGGCAAATGTTGGCACAAGCGCGTCTTCATCACAAAACCAATTCAATGCTATCGCGGCGTTGGCGTATTGAAAATGTTTCCTAGTAGACAGCGGGGTGTTAGTTTGTCTGACTTCTAAGACGGTACTATCATGGCACCAATACCGGGTACCAAACACCATGGCTGTTTCCCAATCTTCACGCTTGTCACGCCCGCTTTCGACCACACATCCCGCTCTGTCCTCAGCCTGAATTTCCATCTCTGCCGGGCTCACCTCCGTCCGCCGGCGACCGGGGCAATTACGAGCGTGTCGCGCGCGGCCCGGTCCGTCGGCCGGTGCCGGAGTGGGGCCACAATGGGCCTGCTGGAGCGTATATCACGGCCGCCCCCTGCGGCGGACCGGCGCACACTGCGCCCGGCGGCCCGCTCTGACGCGATTCATTATCGGCCGCGAGGACGGACGGTCGGCGACGGCGTCCCGGTCG